ACATTCTCCAAGTCACCACCTTCGAACTATTTCTTGTACTTCTTCTTCTTTTTTCTTGTACTGGTCTCTGCAAAATCTTTTGGATGATAGAACCTTCATCACAAATTAGGATATCTAAAAGACATTTTGGTTACAAGAATCAACAATTTTATGAGCCGATCAATCAATCACTTAGCCAAAAATGGCAAGAGGTATGGGATAAAATGAAAGATATATAATTTCATAGAGTTTTTTATTACACAAAAATTGTATCTAAATTTCACTAGAAAAATTAAATGCCTTACTGAACGACCCAATAAATGCTATTATGGTAACATTTGAGCTATTATAACCTGTCCAGGGTAGCAAAACATAACAAATAACTAATATTAAACAAACCTTTCAAAATAATACCTGAATTTCGCTAAGAGTTCTGAGAAGCAGTAAAATCTGGTCTTAGTTTTTAATACTAGAAGACTCTGAAATCGTGCTTAGAGAGGATTCTCTAGTCTTTACTTCTACATCACCTTTTTAACCATAAGACAGCCAAGTTTTTTTCTTAATTATAACAAATACAAAGAGAATACTCTACGCTTCGCTGAAGTGGTTGAGAACAAGTGAATGCAAATTGAATAAAGAGCGCTCTGCCAAACATGTAAGCGGCCATGGCGGATGGGAATCGCTGGCAGTGCGATTACATGCTCACAAATTTAATGACATCACGTTCATCATGTAAATGAATAAATTTAATTAGTCAACTGCTGAGCACAACCACATACATGTGTCACATGACTGCGCCGCGCATGTCAGCTTCCTTTGAACCGAAATTTAATGGAATTTGGAAAAATTAAATTGTCTCAACTGCTAGCGGCAATTGGTGAGCCAACGATGCGAGGCTCCGATGCGCTACAAATGAGGACAGCCAACAAGCGGCGACCACCAACAAGAGCTCGAGATAAAGACCAAATATATCACATTAGCAGACATTGTAGTACACTCTGCGGCGCCGGTAYAAACTAATACTCTTACAACAGCCAAATTAATTACCATGATGTAAATACTCGTATGGGATAGTAAGTGCGGAAACGCTCCAAAAAGAACTGGGTTTTACAAGAAGTTGATTAACTAAATAAAGCCTGCTAGTTCTTCCAGAGCATCTGTTGTCTCATTGTACATGTTGGGTAGTCGAAACAGTCTCAATCTCCCAGTATTTCCTTCACGGGAGTTTGTTGTCATTTATAGCATGTTTATTCGGAATAAAGGCGGGAATGACTGTAAACTAAACGTAAAAAATTATTAAGTCACTGTTATTAGCAGTCATCCTTCTTAATTGACTTATCAAAAGTACGCACACTTCTTATCCAACCCTGCTGGGTATCGCTAGCTGGCTTCTGGAAAGCGCATGTGACCCGTTCAACCACCGCGTACTGTCACTTCGCTAATAAGACACTGCAAGTCATCGACCAAACACAACCATTAGCCTTTCCACTAGCACTACCCGGTCACAAGAGCTCATTTATGAAGGCAAATATGTATGTATGTAAGGCACAAGTAAGGCTTCTGTCTACTTACTTTATGTCTGAGATAAACGATCAAATGTCTCTGCCACACTGAGGCGGCTGCCAGTCACCTTCTAGGTAATTTGTAATGAATCTAATGCTGGAACTTTGTCGAGCACGTGAGCCAACACATGCCGGAGGGCCTGATTGTTGTGCTGAAGCTTGTTTCATTTGCAATATGTATATATGTTGCGTTGCTGCAAGCCGCTGCAAGTGAAATGCGTGTTGCATACAAATGGTGCTCATTAATTTCCAGCGGTAATGGCATGTGAGGCTCTATTTGATGTGCATTATTATTTATGCGGCTTTATTAAGATTTCTTACATGCTCAGTGCAACATGGCGATCTTCCTTGGGCTACAACAAACTTAAACATACAGATATGAACAATATACACAACATATATTTAAGTTATGCATTATTGTCGACCGATTTGTAAGACATTAGCATATCAAAAATCGGAAGATTTGTGAATATAACATAATATATTATGTTTGTTATTGCTTTGCCACGCTGCTCCTCAGCTGAGAAGCCTCACATTCACTTTTGTTATTTGCTTTATTGATATTTTTCACATCTTTACAAGCCTCCTTTGACTAAATAATTACATTTAAGAAATTCTAATAAATCTTCCAGCAAAATTACACTTTGCGTTCCAAAGCAAATTCAAAATATATATATAGCAATGCAGCAAAAGGATTTGTACTCATATTCACAACGGCACATATTAAAGTGCACACTATTACAAAATTCACAAACAGGGCCTTTTAATACCTAAAAGTTGTAAATTACTCTAGCAAAAGAAATTAAAAATAACCTTCATGGTTCGGATTAGGTAGGTATATACCACTACCGTGTGATAAGCCTTCTTAACATCGCATATCGCGATGTCAAGGATTAAAGTCCACCGCCAACAAACTGTTTGGACCTTATTAGTGCGGCTTTAGGTCAGGAAAATCAAAAAGCAAACAGATATACACCAAATCTTGGAAAAGACCCATGAAAAGAGAATCGACACGCACCATCTCTTAATCGATTAAAAAGCTGCTTCTGAAGGCACGCAAAGGAGCTAACTTTGTGACGCGTTTTGAATTTGCTAAACCCGCAAAACAAAAGCTCTGTCAAGATTGTGAAGTACCTTTCCGARCCGTTCGATATCAGACGATGTTTCAGACAAGGTGACTATCTTTCGCGTGACTTTTTTAATGCAGAAGCTGCAGAATATCTCATTTGATGGAAAGAGCTCCAGCTCTGAAAGTATTCGACGCAGTATCCTACGGGGGGGCCAGAACAAGAGCAAGATCTCCACACCGTTGGAAAGACCATGTGGAGAAGCGAAAAGGAAAAACGGKTAGCGCGCTGTTGTAAACTCTCCAATAAAGAAGAAAAAGTTTGATCTSCGTATGTCAATAATGATAAAATCGAAGAAGTTAAACAAACAGTGTTTAAAAAGCGTCGTGTTGGCATCGGAGAAATAGCAGCGGATCTCTAAGTCTGAAATAGATCAACTCAACTCATTTTGTCTAATGTTCGCGATATCAGGCGGATCAATGCTTGGCTGAGTTTTTTGCAAAAACGTCATCAAGCAGAGGAAAAGAGATGCTTGACAATGTAGGTAAGGATTCTACACCCATAAAACACATCATTAGTGCTGACGGTATGTGTGTTTATGAATATTATGGCGAACGAAGAGCACTTTAAATTAGATTTTCCATTAATTATGCAACTTCAAGTCTAAGTTTGGATAGTATATTRTGATAAAGAGGTCCATGAGTTTTATTGACCTAATAGTACATAGTATACTTAAAATCTCCTTTGAGATCAAATAGATCCTTATCATGAGTACAACCGTAAGTATATTTATCAATACCGATTAGACCATTCTGTCCTGTTTGGTATACAGCTTGATTATAAATGTTTACAGTTTGTTTTTACATCTGGTACTGTCTGTTCTATTCTCTGCTCTGAAAAGTTTAGAAGACAGCTAGACTCATCCTAATGCAGTTTTCGCTAAATTGGTGTAGAACAAGATGATTTATACTTTCTTATTTAGTTTGTATCYGAGGTTCCATTTCGGGAAGAGTTATGGGAATTTAAATACTTAGAGACACTTGAACGAAAGCTATCTTATGGTTGACTACTATATGGTTTTTAAAACCAGTTTCAACCAGGTAATGTTGAACATATTTATGTCGATAAGTATATATAACATTCATTATAGTATTGTGCTCTGCGAATGGACAATAAATATAATTTTCCCTTAGGTAMATTCGAATATAAACGAGACAAGGAATAATGTTAAAAAAATATTGACAATTACTTGCCGTTATAATGTATGACCCATCCACAACTCACAGCGAAATTGCGCAATTGAATTTAATAATGTAAATGATGGTCGAGTACAATAGAATTACTTGTAAGCGAATGAGAGACATTGGTATGAGTAAAAGTTAAATGTGAAMGAAAGGAAAACTATGCGCCATAAATTGGCTGCAGGAGGAGGAGTGGAGTGGAATGCAGAAAACCAGCAATCGGAATGGAAATGCAATGAAGTATGAAACAAATGAATGAACAACAATTGAACAAAGGAAAAGTGCTGCACATTAATAGGCAAAGTACAGATAAAGGCAAAACAAAAAACAAAAAAGCGAACATGAAATACGAAGCATGAGAATGGAGGAACAACGAGAACCATTACAAASCATGCGAGTCTAATGTAAAAAGCGWAGGAACTGGTGCAGCCACCTGTCGCAATTTAAGTGGAACAATTGTAAAAATTGCAAACATTGTTGTGTTTGGCTTAAAAGTTTGATTGGCCGACATCAAGTAGACTGCAGAGGCCGTCGCCACATCAATTGCAAATTGAAAAGTGAACAGTGCAGAGTGAAGGATGAAGAGTGAAGAGTAAAGATAAAAAACCTGACACAAAACCCCACAAACGAAGAGAAAATAAGAATTTAATAAAAATAAAAATTGAAGACAATCAATGAACTTCCGCAGGATTATGAGTAACGAGAGAACTTTTTAAAACGCAACCAACAGCTAAGAGGAAATTGGTTTATGCGCGCTCGCAGCGCAAGCAGCTGCCTGCGAGAGCTTTGTTGTACGAGTAGACGTGAACAAGTTGAGCAATGGCTTTAGCTTAAGGAAGACAAAGGTAGAACAAGCACTTSATTTCCTGGTGAAATCAGTCATGGTGATGAAATTATTGCGATGATAAGACTAYGTCAGTGGAGACTGCCGGGTGGAGTTGATCCACTCAACTGAATGAGGTCATTTTGTTCAATTTACTCACTTTGGTGGGTATATGTATAGAAGGAATTAAGTCGATATGTCACTGATAATTAGAAGCTGAAAACCGAGTTCAAAATTCAAAATATATCAATATATGGACATACAAGAATTAGTAGAAAATGGCTCAATCCCCTTTCAAAATGRTAGTCCTTTTACAATAAATACTTACCGGTTGATCATTGATTAACCACTGCAGTCGCGATGCTGGATGTGACTTGCCCGATGTGCAGTTCAACGCTAAAGTGTCGCCTATTTGATATTGATTTTGTTGGCCTCGGATATGTGGACCATCGCGTGGCAAAACTGCGGTAAAAAAATTAAATGCATTTCATAAACTAGATATTAATGCCAAATAAGTTAAATATGTGGGATATGCTATTTTCAAATCGTTTAAATTGTGATGGATATATGTTTATTCAAAACGTTCCAAGTGGAATATTGGATGAGGTTCACGACTCTCGATATGTTGTACCATTGACTTGCCTCAACTTAACGGAACTTAAGTTAATTTTTAGCAATTACTAAGCTTTTGTGAACTTAAAAGCGCTGAGGTGCATAAATTTGTGCAACTGTTTTCAATAAGTTAAGTTAAGAAAGCTATTCGCTCAACGCACAACTTCACAGCTCATCAATTCACGTTTATCGCAAATATGCAAATTACATCGAAAAACACTTTGTAACAAATTTGYGGCAATGCCGTTTTCACTAGTTCTCTGTAAGTTTCCTGGTGAACACATTTTTAATACAAATATTCATTCACCAATGTACCGCTTTGTAAATCATTCTGCAGACGCGAGTCGAACTTATTTCCATATGATCTAAAAAATTACAAGATTTAAAATCAGTACTCGCAGGTGTCACAGCAACTTAGCGCGCAAAGTCCCCGCCCTCGACTGTTTGGTACAAAACGTATTTCGCACGCTTCGACACTTTTCTTCACAGTACATAAATTTGTTGCTCTGGCGAGAAAAACTCCGAAGCAAGAAATTGAAAATCACATCACGTCTTCAGCGCAAACATGTAAGTGAGATTGTGTGGAGGACTACAGTGGTGGCCAAGATATACGAATGCTAACATTGTTTGCTTTCTGGTTGTTGACCAGTGTGTTGACTGCTTTCAAGATTAAGAATTTTATTTTTGTTTAAACAATTTAAGAGAGAACTTTGCCAAAACTAAAGCAAATATTTTAAAACAAATACTATTTYATTATATTTTTAACAACTAACTATTAAAGAATGTGTCTAAAAGAGAATTTTTCGAAATTCAATTTGTTTTCGGAGACATAGGTATTTTGCTAATTCGGCATCCAAACAGGTTCGAAGAGAGCTAAAACTTTTCGAGTTTTACTCGAAACTGTCTTTTTCCAAATAATACTCACGATTTCTCAGATTCTACTGGATTGATTTTTCTAAAATTTTAGAGAGCCTTTTTCATTGACTTTTCTATGCTTGAAAGTATACATATCCTCAAAATGTAAATGTTTAATATTTTAGAAAACTCAAAGCAGTTAATAAAGTGGGTCGAAAACTGTCTTTTTTTAGATAGTCTCCACTTTTTGAAAAGATTCTGCCAACTCTTTCTTAGTTGCAGAAATTGCAAGATTATTCTAGATTAATACATTGGAAAGAGGATTAAGGATATGGTAACGTGAGGCCCCCATTTTATAGRACAATTAGAACAATGAATGAATTATCATATTAAACTCTTAATCAATACTTAATATATTCCTAANGTTGAAGGAACTTTCTTACAAACTTCTAAGTATGTGCTCCTCCACCATACAAAGAATCCGATGGAATGAATAATTTTCCATTTAAGTTGTAAATGCTGTCTTCTCGAGCGCTAAACATGGAAATATGTTGTCTGTTTTTATACCTGTCTCTTATACACATCTAGATGTGTATAAGAGACAGCTGCAATATATAGTATTTGCCACCATAGTGCTTGATATGAATCCTAAGTACATGACGTGCCATGTAATTAATTTTCCATGAATTCAAACTCATTCTATTCAAGCATTAACAAATATTTTTCATTAAGAACATAAGTTCTGTTCAAACAATGCAATTATAGATAATATAATGACAACATTAAGGACTGTCTCTTATACACATCTAGAACATATATATGTATATGTGGTATACTTATAACATAGGTTTTGTATATATAACATGTCAACGTGATAAAATTCTCGCAAATGTTTAGCATTGACAACGATTCACGGATTCATTCATAAATTGAGCCTGTGCGCACAACTGGCGTGGCGTATTGGGGAGCACGTGCAGCGAACAGCCTCTAAACTACGCGACAGGGCGCCGATAAGCGATCGCACTCCGGTCGCGTATGCTAAGCGTTTGAGCCGCGCACCTGTCGGCATATGATTGCATTTAAATATATATGGATTATATATTACATGTACTTATATATGGCCATTTGTTTCTAGGTTATAAGGCTAAGTGGCAAAGATGCCGGGGTTGTGATGATTAAACTTGTTGGTGAATTATTTGAATCATTAGAGGTGAGCAGTTTCATTTTAGTGTACTGTTTAAGGAAAGTGCAAATTTTGAATTGAAAAGAAGTTAAAAGTTGTACATATCTATTGTGGGGTCTGTTGAATCTTGAGTTCACTTGAAAACAAGCGCTCAAGTCTTTGCAATCTGAGTTAAGCATTCAGTCTGACTGCAATATATAGTATTTGCCACCATAGTGCTTGATATGAATCCTAAGTACATGACGTGCCAWGTAATTAATTTTMCATGAATTCAAACTCATTCTATTCAAGCWTTAACAAATATTKTTCATTAAGAACATAAGTTCTRTTCAAACAATGCAATTATAGATAATATAATGACAACATTAAGGAAGGAGAAAGTGTATTTAAGTATAAATTACTTGCAGATTCACAAAAGATGTGATTACTTTTAATAAGTATAAGTGTGTGTTTAGTAGTTCAATGGCTATGTATGGATGCATGCCGAAATGAATTTACAAAATTGTAGGAAAATTACAATTTCAGTTATTTAATAAGAGAAAATTCTAATCGAGCTGCACAGAAAATAGYTGAATTTGAATTGCATAAGCTGACTACAATCGATTTGGTCTCTCTTTATTTATATTTCGATTTCAATACATCTAGGCGAGTTTTTTAAGCTCTTCTGCCGGGACCTCTCAAACAACTTCTGCCGGGACAGTGTGCAGTGTCTTTCAAACAGAGGTGGCAGTCATGAAGTTAACTGCACATCGACTTCTCTGATATCGGCTTCTTTTAGGGAGRTGTGCGGAACTTATAGGCTTCGCGGTTGGTCAGCAAAGGTTGGTTAGCGASCAGCAATAGTAGGATTGGAATGTAAAAGGTCCAGTAGAATTCCTGGCTCTTAGCTATGCTCACATCGCCGCAATGATTRGCRTCCTAACTAGGCGAAAGAAATRKAAAYATCAAGACACTTTCTCCCCCMCAGACCAGCTTTCGCCGGACTAAGKTTGAAACATCTCGGGTGCGTTAAAAAATCCGGTGAATTGGCTGGAATTGATATTGGCCACTGCGACGGTCTTTTAAATCCGTACTTAGTAGTTCTGTGCATCACAATGAACAAGCATGTTTAGCAGTCCATRTGGGATTATTCGCCTCTTTAATTTCCAATTTTGCATCCCATAATCGCATTTGAAAACCAAACCAATTTCAATTCCATAATTAAAAAACTGCAAAAATCTGTAAAAGCTATTACATAAGTTATCTGGCAAATAACTTTGCTTCCTTTAAATGTTAATATTTGTAGAACTTGTTGSTGAAACTGACTGATTCACTGGAATTATTTTAGGCTTTTAATAGGGAATGTTTTCCCGCTTGTCAGCCAACATTCTGCCGCATTAATGCACTTCAAATAAAAAACACGGTTTAAACAAATACTTGAATGAGTATATAAATTGAGCTTTGCAAACACACACACATGCACACTTGCCGCTGTTAACTGGGAAAACCTGTGGCAGTTTCACACTCGCGCGCCAACTGTTGAGTGCGAAAAATCGCGTCGGATAAAATCTGATAATATTGACTTTTGAAGCACTCGCATATCTCGCAAAGTGCACTCTTACATTAACCGCAAATCCTTGTGTGATAACACCGCAGCCGCACACCGCATTCCCTTYGCCGCTGAGCACTTGTCGACCCACTTCCTCGCTTGCGCCGCAGATTTCCGGGGCTTAACAGCACTGCCGCTGACCGTTAATGGGTMGCGGCGGTCACCGCCGTCCATCAGAGTGTGTGAAAAGTCACTTKAAATTCGCAGACAACAAAACCTGCTCCCGCATAAATGAACCGAATGCAAATAATAATGCGCGAAAAGCAAAAAAGTTAAGCCGAATGCAAATTAAGTGACCGCACCGCATTGAGAGCGCATTGCCATGTCCTTGTATGKGTGTGTGTGCGATGAGGCACATTAAAAACCGCAAAAAGTAGCAGAGATTACAAATATACGTTGTGACATTGCTCATGCAGAGTGATTTACCCCGAAGAGCTTCCAAAGCAAAACTAAAGCCATCTCGCAGAATTTCCCTGCAATTCAAACTTAGCCAAATTAAATTCATCTTGAGYATTGATATGATTTGTTGAACGAGCGGTACACGTTAGTATCATGAATCGAAATTCTTCTTTCTTATCTAATATCATAGAYTGACAATTGACTTCCAAAAAATTGCTTTAGAATCTAAGTTGAAGGAACTTTCTTACAAACTTCTAAGTATGTGCTCCTCCACCATACAAAGAATCCGATGGAATGAATAATTTTCCATTTAAGTTGTAAATGTTGTCTTCTCGAGCGCTAAACATGGAAATATGTTGTCTGTTTTTTTACTTTCCTTTTAGCAAAATCCAAGACTCTTCTCTCGTTTTCGGCCGGCACGAAACTTMTAAGATCGTGTTAGACATATTTTGCACACCATCCCACAGTGGTCAATTTCATAGGCCAAAAATAAAAAAAGAATATAAGTTTGAAATTTTCACTATTTGTAGTAAAGCTATTTCCTAAAACACATACATAAATACATTTTTGCTCTCTCCCATTCGTAGGGGCTGCGAAAAGCGAGAGAAGAAGAAACACCCGGCCTATGCAGTGAAATTAGCTTAAAAATTCTCTCTTATAATAAAATAAGTTGCAATATAAAATCCTGTTTAATCCCCATAAATCGAAATGAATATTGAGAGTAAAGGTATATGATATATTACAAAGTGGTTTTTATGCAATAATATGTTGTTTTATTATTTTAAAACAATTGTTTTCTAAGTGCCATTTTGAGTGGTATGTTTTTCTTTATACATCGATTTAAGGTACACAAAAAGTTGTGATCCCTGTCTCGCCCTCAAATGAATGAAGTTTGTTTATATCAGTTAATGTTTTCTAAGTCAATGAATTTGATTTCAGCGGCAACTTTCTTTGTTATTCATGTTATTCTACCAGGCGTGCGATTTTTTGTGTGTTATTTTTTATAATTTTTTGTATATTCGTGCATATTTTATTGGTTTTTTTATCATACATACATACATATATATATGTATATATATTTGGGCTTTGGTTTTCATTCTATCATTTTCTCACTTTTATCAAATGTGTGAAACTTTCACATTTATCTACAAATTTGCTTTCCGTTTTCCATTAGATGTCTCTGTTGTCAAGCACTGGTCGATTAAATCGATTAAATCGTTTTATATCAATCTTGGACATTTGTGTCAACAATAACCCAACTAAATATTTGTAGAGATCTGTTTGCATCCCAAATATTCTCAACTGAAAATGTCACTTTTTGAGCCGAATTCTCGATATGCTTTTATTTTTTATTTCCAAGAAAAATGCGGCTGAGGACTCGTCCAAGCTTTACTCAGGTTGACACATACATAGATCATACTATTACTCTACTACTACCATATATACGATTTCTATTAGGTATTAAAAAGATATAGAATTTTTGTAAAGCAACTTGTCTTAGTTTACAAAAAAATGGATCATAAAGCATATCTTGTGTTATATAAGCATTGCTTTTTAAGGGAATAAGGGAAAACACTTTGGACCGTTTTTATACAATAAAGCCTTAAATTTACCAAAAAAAAACAAAAAACATAATAAAACGGCGGGAGAAAAGTTGTAGACCTAATATAATATAATRTTATATTACATTTTTGATTTTTGGTGTTTAGAAAATGTGTGAAGTAATATCATTTATTACCGAAGCAAATTTTATAAAGCTTCACTATCTACTTATTAGAAGCTTCGTTAACAAAAAACTTGATATTAACTTTTTACCGCTATGATATCATTTTAAAGGAAAAACAGTTATCTTGAGCAAATTAAGTTTCTTTCACATTGCGCCACAAATGTAATTAATGAACGGAATGAGTCTCCTAATTACCGCAATATGTATCTTTGATGGYAATTCTGTTCAGAGCGAATATAAGCATACATTTAATAATATTAATTTGAAAGACAATAATTTATTTGTCACGATATATGTCCTTGTATAACAGATAATAAAATCGCAAAATGATGAAGAGCACAAACAAATTTGGAAAAACTGCAGACCTTCGCCCACCCGCTATTGCCGACCTGTTCGAATTSAATTCGAATTTCAAAAGAAATCAGTTTAATAAAATATAAATGCAATCGATTTGCGCTATATCCTGCACAAGAATTAACTTCAAATTATTCCTGGTATTATTTTGATTCATCATACACGAAGCAACTAACGGATCGCTACAAATCAGGACTTGCTAAACCTTTCTTCACCAGTCAAAGAAAACTTAATCATTTTATCTAACTGTGCATAGTATATTAAGTTTACTAATGGAGGTTTCGCTTATTTTGAAAAAAGAAAATGCTGTCGTATTCGAAGAGATATCCGATATGATTTCTATCGCTCTCGGGGATATCTATTGTAACATAAAATAATCTAATGACACTCAAAGTTATATATAAGTGTTGACATTGATATGAGTCATAATAGGTCACTTGAAAAGCCTGACGCATATGTAAATGGCGGTACTGATTTTTAATAAGCCCTGACGTTCACACGGCGCGTGTCTAAATTTGATAGCTGTTGGTACATTAGCGATTCATATTATTTGGAGTAAAGCAACTTTTGTTATTGTGGTGTTTTACTATGATAGGTCGGGGACTTTTCGCTTTACCTGAACCGGGTTTATAATACTAAAAATATTACCCTATAAAAATTTATACAGATGATCAACATGATGACCTGATTCAATTTAGCCACGCCAGTCAAATCAAAACTAAGGTCTTTCTAGGGAATTTTTTACATTTGTGATATGGGATAATACATACATACATACATACATATATAGTGTGTGTGTGGAAGTTAGTGGGATTGTGTTGGGTGTTCAATTAAAAACCTTTTCAATAAAAAAAAAAGAATCACTCTGTATGAAATTAGCGTTCTATATCGGGAATGGATTCTTCTGTCATTTTTATTAAAACTAAACTTTATCAGTTCGATTTTTTCCATTTTATTTGGTAATCCCAACTTCATCGTCACGTCAAACCATTGTCAACCATTTACCGAAAAAAAYTAGATGCCCTTTCCACCAACCAAATCGGGTGAGAAGACAACGCCGAATTCGAATTTATGTCGAGTTCTAAATTTGTCTGTAGGTTTGTAAAAAAGTGAATTTCACATTCACACACTCAAGCCGTACAGTTATGTACCAACATGTACCAACATTTATATGTATGTGTGAGAAAATGCGAATATATGGAGCAGTGGCTGGTGGCAGCTGCACAAATTTTAAAGTAAACTTTGCGCAATCAACCAAATGCACCGCTGCACAGATTGCCCCAGCATCTTTGCCAACTCTTGCTTTTATTTCTCCGGTTTCGTTTTGCATTTTTGTATTTGTCTTGCAAATTGTTTGGCATATTTCTTCTTTGTTGCTTGCTGAAAAATTCCCTAAAATCGCATCGATACTCTCGGTTACTTGCACTAAATTGTTGTTACTTGAAGTGAATAAACAAATGCACAACACACAYACACATACACGCCCACATCCACACACAAGCCATGAAGTAATAAATATGTATGAGTGGAGATTTTGCCGAAAACTGCCGAAAACTGCCGGAACCTGCAGCTCTGCTGGGCTTCAATCTGTGCAAAACTATGCACTCCAGCCTTTTGATATCGCTCACACACACACACACGCACTCATACACACACACACTCTTCATTTAAATGTACGCACTTGGCTGGTGGATTTCTGCTTTGTGGCCCGCATACATATGCAAATGCGTGCTGCGGTGGCTTGGTCGRTGCCGTTCGGTTCGGGCTTGTTTTGTTTTGTTGTTATTTAAGTGCGGTAATAACAAGAAATATTTGAAATTCACTTTCTGGATTTCTCGAATAATAAATCTGGAAATTAATTTTAGAAATTCCGGGAGAATGATTGCATTTCTACGTAAATTCATTTGAAAGGCGGCTATTGGCTTGATTGTTTGTGTAGGGCATAAATTTTGATGAAAAGTATTTCCACCTAACGAGTGACTTACGCACAAAATGCCTTAAATACATAGGGCACTTTGCTTAAGTGGCAACTCTTGTTCGTAAAATGAAATTGATTTCATTTCACTCCCTTGGTTATTAAAGTTCTTAGCCTCTCCCGGTTTGCATCTGCCTTCAACAAGTAGCAAATCACATAGAAGCTGGAAAAATCCTTTCAAATAATTTCAATTACACTAAAAATATCAGCCAGAAGGATTTAGATGTGCACTAGAACCACTTTAGGTTATCACTTTCCATCACAGAGGCTTCATCGCCATAGATTTCAAACCCAAAATATCGAATAAAATACCTCAATTCAATTAATAGAAATGCTCAAGTCGAAGTGGCCTTCAATATTCCTTTTCCCAAKWTYKGCGTTTGCTATTAMATAAATCATTCTAGGAACACTGTTTATGTGGTACTTACATACGATGTCCATGCGGCCCTCGCCCTGCACCGAAGAAAAGTTGGGCGCCTCAGCTGAGATCTCGCAACGGTACAAGCCSGATGAGTTGAGCGTCAAGCCGCGCAGAAATACGCGCCAACTGTCTGAGTGCTCCTCCTGCGAATAATAGAAAAATTAATTTTAATAAAGAAATTTAAATTCCGAAAAGAATAAAGCCACTGCAAGCGCTGTTATGTARCAACAAATGTGGAGGTGTGACACTTTCACTCACACATCCACATTTCGCCTTTTCCAATTTCCTTTGCCATTAGAGTTCGCCAATTTCGCATATATACTTACACTGACACGTATGCCGTCAAAGCGATAACTCGTCTTCTGCGGGCGCGCTTTCGGCACAAAGCGATAGAACTCCTCGTTGTCCTTGTACCATTTTATGGCATACAACGCCTCGCCGTCCTCATCCTCATCGTCCTCCGCTARGACGTCTTCCTCCTCCTCCGCCTCCTCGTCATCATCGACGCCGTCCCCGAATTTGTAGCGATGCGACGTGCCCTCCGCYATCGCACCGCGCGAACCACTAGTGAAGGTACTGGCGCCAACATGCGCGCCACTGCTGCTGCTACTGCTGCTGACGCCGCTATTACTGAAGCCGGGTATGCCCAATGCTTGGCTGAAGGCCGCGCCGCGATAAACGCTATGCCCGTAGGGAGAGCGCTGCGTTTGATATGGGTAGTGCTGTTGCTCGTCCTCTTCCTTTTGTTGTTGCTGCTGATAATAACTGCCAGCGCCATTTATGTCGCTGTTGCTGCTGCTGTAACTTTGCGATGGCTGATATGGATAGGTTTGATGCTGTTGCTGGTATTGTTGTTGCTGCTGGTGCTCTTGCTGCTGTTGGTGCATTTGCAGTCGCTCCGTATGGTAGGAGAATTGACGTTTGTGTCGAGTAAATTTCGGCCTCATGGCCACAAAGTGATGTGCATCGAAGAAATGCATATTGCCGCCATAACGGTTCCGTGTGTTCGTGCGTGTGCGCGTGCGTGTGTAACTGCGATGTCGGTTGCCAGCGTCACTGACTAAAACTTCACTTCCGATGTTGCTGCCGACGCCGCCATAATATGGCGGGCCGCCTGTGCGATTCAACTCATATTGGCATTCGAGCATTGCAGACTCGCCGCGAAATTTGAAAGCTGGTATTGAGACYTTTACCAGACGCAGGCCGGCTAGACCTGGAAAGGAAGGAACGGAAAGCAAATCCAATTATAATTTTTTTTTAATTCGAATTTTTGTTTTAATTTAATATGAAGTTTTTTTTTTTGCTATGATAGCATTGCTACCAGGAAAGTGCTATTTTATTCACTCATACGCCTTGGCAAACCAGACAAAATACTGAGACGGGATTACATACCTTCATTGAAAAATGGAGATAATGGGTAAGGTAGGTTTGAAAAGATTATACCTTACAGTTTTCTAATTTTTTTTTCTTATTATCAGATAGAAAAATTCAAGAATCGGCTTGGAAAAGTTTCATCAGACATTTCAGATCTATAAAACAAATTAACTAAGCTTCTCAGCACCGAAATACAGATATTTACAAATCAAAATATTTCKAATTATATTCAGAAATTAACGCCATACAACAGTACAGATTATTTCCTTTGGAAAGCTGCAAAAAATACTAATAAACAAATATTGTCCAATACAACATTCAGAAAGTCAATCGAATGCTGGGTCAAAACAGATGAACAAAGGCGGAGGTTTTTTTAGAGAAGCTAACTAAAACGTTCAATCCCTTTGAATCCYATAGTATTCTAACCATCAACAAATAAAAAACTGAAAAATATCACAAAAACTAGATTTAAACTAAAAAAAAGGACTTTCGACTTGGTGACTGCTGATGTACTAAAAAATCTAACGTGAAAGGCATTATCGATGCTTAAATCGATAATAAGTGCCTGCTTAAGTCTCACATACTTTCCATTGTCACCAAAACCTGGCAAAAGCCAAATGAGACCACATAATATTGTACAATCTCATTGTTGCCTATTTTGTTCAAACTACTTAAAGCTGCAATCACAAGGAGACTTCATAACATAATTGAAGAAAAGCGGCTTATATCAATTCACAATTTCGATTTAGATCTCACCATTCCGCAATGAATCAAGTTCATCGAGTAACAAGCCTAATAGAAGCTGTGATGAAAGAAAAGCACATCTGCACAACAGTTTTTCTTGACGTGGCCCAGGCGTTCGATAGAGTAAGGCACCATGGCTTACTTCATAGATTAAGACTACTTTTTCCTAGGAACCTTACTAGACTAACTTAACCTCTTAAAATCAAGCAAGGATAATCACTACACACTAAAAATGGTTATWCCCCAAGGAAGGGTCCACTCTTGTACTTTTTTTACTAGCGACATACCTAAATAAATAAATCAAAGTGCTACATATATCCCCTTACACATTGGGAATGAAGTAATCCCGTACACCACCTTTACGAAATAWCTTGGTATGACGCTGGATACCACGTTAAAGTGGAAGGAGCATATACAAAAACAAAAATTGTGGAACTAAAACGAAAATACAACAAAGTAATCTGGCCCTCGAATCGAAAAGAACCCTCTGTTAAGGGCCAACTAAAATCCTGGCTTAGTATCAAGCAGTGAACACCCATTTGGACGGAATTCAAGTATTATGATGAGCTGCACCGTAATACATCCAGGCGGTTCAAAGATTCTAAAATAAAGTTCTAATATCGAAACATGCCACAAGGTTACAAAATCATGTAAACGCTGAAGTGTGAAAACCAGGAGAGACTAGAAATAGCAGTCGCAGACTAAAATGTGGAACCTTTCATGTCATTCTAAAAAATAATAAATATTATAATGTAATGAGTTGCCGCTGTTTCCGTATATGATTTTGACATTATCACTCCGTGAACCAGTTCCCTAAACTCTGAATTCTAAACTYAGAGCAACCTTGAATCAAAAACATGCTTTTGTCGAAGAGTATAATAGAGACATAGGAGTATTGATGTTGCACACTACTTCCTTGTTGGTGCTTACTAATTTTAGCACCAGCCGCCTTTCGCTGCCACCAAAACTCACACACTCATACACTCCGTTCGTTACACCTCGTAGGCAAATATACCCACGCTGCCGCTTAGAATTTGCCAGCTTGCTTGGAACATACATTGCAGTGTGCACAACAACGTTGGCTCAAGTGGTCCATTGAAACTTGCTAAAGCGTAAAGTGTAAAGCTCGGCATTACAAACCAATCGTTAGCAACTTATTTGCTGATTTTTTGCTCTCAACTTGGTTGAAGAGTTGCGAAAAACTGGTGATTTATTTTCATCAAGCCGAGCAGGCGCAGCGCAGACTAAAGCAGCATTAAAACACACGCACACATTCGCGTTAATGGAAAGCTTATAATAAAAATGGATATAGGCCTATTGACCTCACTCACAACTTTCCACTGAAGTGGTGTAAAAGTGCCATTATGTTAATCCTTCTGCTTGCAACTTGCTGCAGCATTGAATTGTGACAACAAATTGATGACTGTCAAGAGTGAAGGCGAAAGCTGCYGCCTGCAGCCACCGCTGCAGAATGGTGAATGCGAGAATGTGGAGAAAACATTTCGAAGTAAGTAAGTGGGGAAAAAACTGCTCGAAAAGTTGTCGAGCTGTGATTGAAATGGTTCGAGCGAGCGTAAGGAATATAAAAGCGAATTGTGCCAACAAAAAGCATATGTTAGTGGCACTCTTGRCGCTGCTGCCGGCTAAGGACCAATAAATTACTTAAGTATAATTTGTGTAGCAACAGCAAACCAAGTAGACCAAATGCATGTGGCCGAGGCGTTGCGAAAGTATCGAGCAGCAAGCAAAAGTTAAGCCAGYGGAGCATAAGCTGAGGCAAAGTGTTCGAAATGCGAAAGCTTGGCAGCTGTCAGCCGGTGGAAGCTACTTGGCGCACTCYGCACTCTRCATAGCCACTTGAGTGAGAGTGTTTTCTCTCGGCAAATTCATGTGCATTTATGCGATAAAGCGCTTTTAAATCATTGGGGAAAATGTATCTGAAGAACTGAAGCCGCACTTTGCCTGCTAAAAGTCTAACGATGCTAACACAATACAACAGCTAATCTGGGGGTTGAGAAATTCCAAGTCAGGGTGATGTTACTAGGTCAGTATAGTAAAACCCTCAAAGGGTTTGGCGTTCGTATGTRTCAGTTTTTTTTATGACCTTTTAAATTTTTTCCTTATCTTGATGTTTTTTCGCTTAGTTGTAACATTTTGGCAAAAAAAAAATTTCTTTTAGATAAAAAAGTTCCACAGTGTAATCGAAAAGAAAGATATATGTTGAAGATTGAAGTTTGGAAAATCTTTCAGCTCAAATTTAAATGAACATTCATTGAACGGACAACAGACGGGCGGGAATATGATGAAGTAGTCCATTTTTCATAGTGAACGTGAATTCCTTCCGAATTTCCAATACCCATTTAATAACAAGGGTGGAGGGATGTTAAATTGCTTTATATACTCACAGCACACAAAATGTTTCMAAGGCGTTTAAGTACCAGTACTTGCAGCAAACTTCCRCCCATCTACATTTGTAATGTTGCGCAGCAGCATTTGCAACCGATAAACAAGCAAYACTAAGTGAATTCGGAATGAACACGCCGCACCATAAAAAATTAAGAATATATGGGTTGATCATCCCTGTAAGAAAGACCAACTAGTGAGAAGAATTTCTAATGCTTATCTTATAGCTTACTGATTTTCTTCCGCCGTTAATATATWTYGGAACGTACGCGCACCGACTGGATTCGGTAAAAGGCGTTCCTAGCTCACGAACGACTGGTCGGTTGTCTCCGAGCACCTGGAGAATCAGRAGAAGCATTTTCGCGGGCGTGTTTCTGTGAGTGGCGCAAGCCGCAAATGCAAAGTTCGTTAGAGAAGAGGTACGCACTTAAATTCTGTKTGAAACTCGGTAAATCGGCGRSGSGGATGYTYGATAWGATCWAGCAGGCTTATCCAAATGTTGCTTTAGCAAGAATTGGTGAGTTTCGGTGGCACCAGGCCTTTTTGGAGGGCCGGAAAGAGATCGCTGATGAAGACCATTTGAATGAGCAAATCCTAATTGAAAACGATGCTAATTGTCTTTTTTGACATCGTCCACCATAAATTTGTTCTACGAAACGCAAACAAAGGGCTAGTCGAGTCCGACAAGACATGGCTGCCCATTGGAAGTTGCACCACGACAACGCCTAGACTCACGTCGCCTTTCTTTTGAACAGCTACCTACCAACGGTTTCGAAGCCGCCCTACAGCTCAGATATGGCCCCCGGAATTTTTTTCTTTCCTTGACCTGAAAAGACCGATGAAAGACAACCGTTTTGCAATGACAGAGGGGATCCAAGCAGCATGCACCTTGGCTCTCAAGGCTATTTCGGAGAATGCCTTCCGTAACGCCCTCAATGCTTGCAAGTYGCGCTGGCAGCGCTGTATCGACGCAGAAGGAGCCTATTTTGAAAGTTTTTAAAGAATTGTAACGATTTTTKAAATCGACTTAGTCTTATTACTTTCCGGACAAACTCTGTATTTGCACTCCGTCGATATTTATATTAAATTTTGAAGAGTCTCATATAGGCTTCTATGAAAAATCATAATTTCTTTTACCTTTGGCTAAAATAGAATTTCATATCACCCCTTACCTACTACGGATACAACCGTTGAGAATAACAAGAAAAGCTTGATGAGTTTTACAGCCTTCAATTCCTTCTCATTGCACCAGACTATTGAATGTTAAAGCAATTTGTTGAAAAATGGGAACGTAGTTTGCCTAAATCAAAACACTTTAACACCAGCGTATTGTCCTACAAGGAAGCTATGCGTTCCCCTAATATACATACAAATTCAAGACATTTACAAAGTATGCCATACTTACGTAAGTGGTGACATATTTATGTAGATTGACAATCAGTTAGCCTGCAATGCACCGGCGCAATCACAATAGAAATAACTTATCCCATTTCACATTGATATTCCATTTGCTCTGAAATTTCACTAATGTAGAGTAGCAAAAACCTGCATTTACATACCGTTCCTGAATGGCTCCACACACACAAAGGCTCACCTTACACATTCCACTTGCACATAACCGAAATGCCGCCGCTAATACTGATAACTGAACAATACTCGAGGTATGTATAAATTCACTTCTACGAAAAGTAA